GCCCCAAGCCACAAAGATGTCAGAAACTAGCTCCCAGACCTTTCATTCAGCCAGATCTCTGGCCTCAGGCAACTGTAGCTTTGTGTTCTGAACATCTTCTCGGGATACAGAGCACCTTTGCTCTGCCTGCCCACGTGGAGGAACAGAGCAGCTGCGGGGGCCACCAGACCTCCTACTGCACCAGGGCCCGTGCCAACAGCTCGGCACTGACCGTCTCCCACCATCCCCGTGAGACCACCCTTCCCCTGGCCCCTCCAGAAGAGGGGGCTCCGGACCCACCTCCTGCCCCGGCCCAGCAATCAGCCTCAGCCCCGCACGCTGCCTTCCAGACCAGCAGGGCCACCTCTAGCCGGCCGCTGCTCCTGCTCACCTCAGTCCCTGGGCAGCTCAGGACTGCCAGCTCATCTCTCCCCCCCGGACTCCGGTCACACTGTGGCTCCGTACATACCCGAATATGATCCTGACTCCTATCCCTCCCAGACCCTCCCAGGGGCCCCTGTTACTCATCAGTGAAACCCCTACATCTTCCGCCCCTACACATGCCACTCACCGTCTCGTTCCAACCGCGGCCGGGCCCTCCCTCGAAGGTACTTTTCCCCGCAGCCCCCTCAGGGTGACAATTTCTCCCCCACACTTAGCCTCCTCCATGGCCTGAAGTGAGACCTTGCTCCTTAATGCCACTTCCAGACCACGGCCCCTAGAGCCGCCCTAAAAGTCCCCAGTTTTGCAGCTCGTGGCAGACGACGCCACTCTCCCTACTTGTCTCAGTCACTTCGAGAGCCCACAGAAGCGCAGGTTGGCCCTTCCGCGCCTGTACTAACGGCTCTAGCCTCTGGCGCAGCTCTCTCCTCCACAACCCTGTCGCCCTTCCCGATGATCTCCCCATCACCCAGCTGCCATCCTACCTGTCCCGACTCATCTGCCTTTCGCCAAGTTTGGGCTTTCTACACTCCTAGGGCACTCAGTTCTGTCTTCTTCTTCCTTCTCAAGGCCCTCACTCCAGCAACGGTCCCATCCGCCCCGGAGCATGACTGGCCAGCTCTGCAGCACACTGTCCCCTCCGCATAAAACCAATGCTACCTCACACATCTTGCAACCCACCCCCTTGAGTCCAAACTTTCCCTCCAGCTCCAGCCCACTCTCCTCCCTTTCGAGCAAACTCCACAGAAGAGCGGTCCTTACTCACTGGCTCCAACTCTTCTCCCTTTCCTTCCTGAGCCCGCAGTGGGTGCTCCCTATCGCTCCACAGAAACAGCTGTCAAGGTCATACACCCGATGGGCAACTCTTACCCCACGCTCAGAAACATCTGGTCTGGGTTTGGAAACGCCTCCCTCCCCGGGCATTCAGGACACCACCTCTCGGCTGGCTTCTCGTCTGACGAGCACCGCTTTCTCCCGACGCCCGTGTCCTCTGACGGTGGGGCTCTCCTCCTCCCTGCCCACCCTCACCTCCAGGGCGACCTCATCCCGTTCCACGGTTTTACATATCCGAGGACGCCCACATATGCATCTCGGGGCCGGACCTCTCCCCTGACCTCCAGATCCAACAGCCAGCTGCTTACTTGCATCTAGGCTGTCTAAAAGGACACCCAGAGCCCACCGGTCAGAACATGTCAGATGCCGAATTCCTGCTTTATTCGTCCAGCCATCTAAACCCGTTCATCTGAATCTTCTCCTCTCCCTAAATGGCAACTTCATCCTTCTCGCTCCTAAGCCACAAAACGTCCAAGTCGCCCTTGACCTCGCCCATCGGCATTACCCTCAAACATCAGCAATCCCTGCTTGCCCCTCCGCCACCACTCTGGCCCAGCCCCCACCATCCTGTGCCCGGATGGATCACGGCCATGGCCTCCCATTGGCTTCTCTGGTTCTGTCCTGCCCCCACGGTCTTGTCCACGGAGCGGAGCACTGTCCACCTCTGCCAAGTCAAGTCACTTCATGTAGCACCTCCTCAGAGCCCGACGATGGCTTTGTGTCTCATGGAGAGTAAGAGTCCTTGTCCCTGTGGTGCCCTCCCAAGCCAGTTACCTGGCTCACCTTATCTCTAACCACACCACCTCGCTCGCTGTGCTCCAGCCCCCCGCTTTCTTACCGCACCTCCAACTCGCCAAGCCCATTCTCGGCTCAGAGATTTGCATTTGCTCTTCTCTCTGCTTCAAACCCTTCGCCCGGACACCCTTATGGCCAGCTCCTTCACCTTCTTCAGGTCTTTACTCAAATGCTGCCCCATCAGGCCTTCCCCGCCTGCCCAATACCCAACAGCACACACGTACCATCTCCCCAGAGCCCTTCGCCTCTGTCATCTTTATCCTGCCTTTCTTGGGTTCGTGGTACTTAAAAGCATCTGGTAGTCCATATATTTTACATACTTGTTTACGGTCTGCTTCTTTACTAGAACGCTGAGGACAAGGACTCTGTTTTGCTCGGTGCTGTACTGTTAGCATCCAGACTAGAAGAGGGCACGCAGGGACTACTAAATATCTAGCGGATGCGTGAATGAATACATGAATGAAAATAAATCCCATCTATTCATCCCTGGGAACAACTGTGTGAGGGAGGTCCTAGCATCTGCAGCCCCATTTTACAGGAGAAGAAACTGAGTGGGGCTCCAAAGTCCCCAAATCTGACACAACTCAGGAGGGGCCAAACCTGTGTTCCAAACCAGCTCTGCTGACCCCAGAGCCTCCCATGCGGCTCACCTATTAGACAGCCGGGCTCTGTGCTGCGGGCTTCACCTGCACGAGCACCCTGGGACAGAAGGACTAGCCTCTCCATTTTACAAAGGAGGAAACGAGCCCAAAAAGATTAAGAGAGTTCCTCCAAGTTCCACACAGCCAGTAAGGTGTGACACTGAACTCTGAACCCAGGCAGTCTGGCTCCCCAGCCCATGCTCTTAACCACGGACCGAACTGCTGCCCCGAGATGGGGGGCTCCCCTGGGCAGGTGGAAGGGCGCTCAAACTCGCCAGGGCACCTGGGGTCTAAAACTCCCTGGCGGACGCAGGCCCACTCACCATGCACGTGGGACTGCTGGAAGCTCTTCCCGGGAGCAAAGTGGAAGTTTCCGGCCACCTGTAGGGGATATTCCGTCTCATTCTCCAGCCGTCTCCCCCCTTCCTCTGGTCTCCTGAGGGCCTGAGTGGGCCCTCGGTTCACCGTGGAGTGGTGCTGCTCCTGCTCACCTCAGTCCCTCCCGTACCTTGTTGACTTCTAAGAAGCCGTATACTTGGCAGCCTTCGTTCTTCTGCTCCTGCATCTTCTGGCTGAAGCCTTCTCGCCGGCACTGCTCAATAGTGTCTGGGTTCTTGAAGGCCCAGCCCCGGCGGCGGTAGGCCTCCCTCACATCCTCACAGGTGTTACAGCACCTGCGGGAGAGGGGGTGCGGGGCGAGAGCAACACAGCACGGACCCAGAGCTCGCAGCTTAGGGGACAGAGCAGTTCTGTCCACTAACGAAGCCTCTGCCGGCCTCATCCCTGGCCACCAACTGTTCCCAAACTCCATTCCCTCAGAGGCAGCAGGACTTAAAAATACGTATTTCCCTTCCGTTTGGGATGACAGAGAGCAGTGACGGCTGCACAACACTGAATGGTACACGAGAAAACGGTTAAAACGGTAAGCTTTAAAAGTTACGCATATTTTACCACAGTGCAAAAAATATTAAATAGGTATCCCCAGGCCATACCCTAGACCCGCCGAATCAGCTTCTCAGGGGCCAGGGCCCGAGGAACATAAGAGCAGTGGCCACATATCACAGGCCTAATAACCGGGGCTGGGCCTTCAATCTCAGTGCTTTCTATACAGGATACATCTAATCCTGATGTGCCTGTTTACGGGACACGTGTTCCCATCACCCCCTTCACCAGACAGGTTATGTGGCTTTGCCCAAGGACACAGGGGTGGAACCCAGGCAGCTGGACTCCAGAGGCCACTTCTGAACCAGAGCGGGCACCACTCCAGCCTCGCCCCCCACTGTGGCCCCACGCAGGGCCTGGCCACAGAGCCCCAGTCACTTGCAGCAGGAGCAGTGACTGAGGCACACACCCCATCCCCACTCAACTCTTGGTCCAACTTCACCCACCTGCTGCGGAGTCCGACACAGGCTGAGGATGGCTGACACAGAGTGCCCGGCGGGAGCCCCCCACCCAGCCCCCTGGCTCCAGCTCACCTGATGTCTTCCGTCTCGGCACCGTAACAACTCTCACAGCGATCAGGGTCCAGGGAGTCAGGGTCAAACACCTTTACCTCCACCTTCCCGAGCTCTAAGGGGAGGACAGAGGCAGGGGCATTAGCTGGGAGCAGAGAGAATGAAATCTGCACCCCTGGCCCCCTCACAGGCCCTTTGGCCTGTGGCCTGGGAATAATAAAAGCTATAATAATAGCTCATACTGGGACACCTGGGTGGCTCAGTTGGTTAAGCATCTGCCTTTGGCTCAGGTCATGATCCCAGGGTCCTGGGATCGAGCCCCGCATCAGGATCCTTGCTCAGTGGGGAGTCTGCTTGTCCCTCTCCCTCTGTCCCTCCCCCTCACTTGTTCTCTCTCTCTCCAATAAAATCTTAAAAAAAATAGCCAATATTTATGTGGTGCACACTATGTGTCAGGCGCTAAGCACTTCCACACACCTATTATTTCTCTAAATAAAAGTACTAGTAATGAAACAATAACCACAAATGCTAAATGTTAGCTGACTATAGGTCACTGTGCACAAAATGTCTCTCACCTGCACGCGGACCCTAGGAAGGCGGGGATTATTATTATCCACATCATACTTGCAAAGACTCGGAGACTCAGAGATGAGAAGTGGCTCTGTCCAATGCGACACTGTAAGCAGATTTCAGCCCCAGTTCCAAAGTGTGTGCCTTTAACCCCCTCACCTTGGAGCTACACCTCAAGCCTCTCTCTCCGCGCCCGATTCCCTGCCTGTAACTACCTCCTCCTAACCGCAGACTTCAATATTTAATACCCCGACCTCCTGTCTTCCCAGTTGTATTTTATCATCTCATCTCAGCCTCATCCCACTTCATTTCCACACGCACTCCTAGACCTTATTTCCAATGACCGCAAACCTTCCACACTTTTGAGTATCCCAATCTCGAGTACTTATCCTTATTTTCCCAGCTCATCTGGGAAATACCTCTGGTACCCAGAAACCACCAATTCTTTGACAACACTAACACTATCACTCCCTCATGCCCTCGCTTCCCTCCTTATTTAAGTTCCATGGTCCAAATGGGGAAGGGACTGTCGGTCTTCAATAAATGCTGCTGGGAAAACTGGATATTCATATGCAAGAAATGAAAGTGGACCCCTAGCTTACACAACTCACCCAAATTAACTCAAAATGATTAAAGACTTAAATGTAAGACTTAATTCTGTAAAACTCCTAAAAGAAAATAAGGAAAGAGCTCCCTGACATTGGTCTTGGCAACAGTTTTTTGGTTACGACACCAGAAGTATAGGCAACAAAAGCAAAAATAAACAAGTGGGACTACATCACAATAAAAGGCTTCGGCACAGCAAAAGGAACAATTAACAAAATGACAGGGCAACCTATGGAATACAAGAAAATACTCACAAATAATATGTCTGATAAGGGGTTAATAGCCAAAATATGTAAGTAACTCATACAACTCAATAGCAAAACAAACAAACATGCAAACGATCTAATTAAAAATGGACAAAGGACCTAAATAAACATTTTTCAAAAGAACAAATACAAATGACCAACAGGTAAATGGAAAAGAGCTCAACATCATTAATCATCAGGGAAATGCAAATCAAAACCCTACCACCTCACACCTGTTAGAATGGCTATTACCATTCAGAAATAAATAAGTACAGGGCGCCTGGGTGGCTCAGTTGGTTAAGCGACTGCCTTCGGCT